TTTTTTCCACCCATAGCTGAGCGGGGCTGAACTCTAGAAAACATTTGTTTTCTAGACCCCAACAAACAACCTGGTGGACGTGCGGGAAAGGTGGTGGGGGGGGGGGGGTAGGTGGGGGGACAGAGTCCAGGTGGTTGGGTGGTTTGAGGCCTGGGGGAAATACTTCATGACACATTCATCATCGGAAGACGGCCGGTGTTGTTCTTTCGGTGACGCAATGAGAGAAGAGAAGCAAAGCGCACCAAAGGTTGTGAGACATGCATGCTCGCTATCCTGTTTATCGTCACGACCCGGTTTATGGATGTTGCAAGGTCCGTGCCAAAACTGTTTCGGCTCATGCCGTGCAGGTAAATAATGGTCCACGCCTAGACCAATCGGCACAATTGAGGTGTGCCCCTTTGTCAATCCACTGCTGGATGAAGGCTTCTTCACTCCTTGTCGGACGGTCACGGTGGTTGTTTGACCATACTTCACCGCGCCTGTGAGAGCGAGTTGATGGTGGTCGGGGGGGAATGACAATGACCCGTTCAGATGTCACTCGCTAATTGATGCTGGCCGTGGCTGGGGACGCAGTTTAAGCAATGTCGCTGGGTTTGGAACACAGTGCGCTAACCTCTGCGCCACCACCGCTCCATCCCACAATAATTATGTCCGTCCAGTTCTCGCTGAGCTGCGTTGGCTTTCAGTTTCTGAACGAATACATTATCAGATCGTACTAGTTACACACAAAGTACTTGCCACAAATGAACCACAATACCTTGCTGATTTCGTCAGGGAGCGGAAACCATCACGCAAACTCCGGTCATCCTCGCAGCGGCTTTTGGCTAACCATCGAACAAAGACGGTCACTGCATCGCGCGCTTTCAGATGCACTTCTGCAGCCGTCTGGAACGCTCTTCCTTCCCATATTAGGAAGCCACGGAGCTCTACACTTTTAAATCTAGATTGACAACTCATTTCTTTAGAACTGCTTTTGGTTTTTAGTTTGTCATGCTTCCCCTACACCTCAGATTCGCACAGTTGGCTACGTACGGTGCGAAAAAAGTTAAACATACATAAATTAATATTTTATGAAAACAAATGTCATATTTCACTCTCGTCGCTTAGATAACTTCTTGTGGTTGATGTTTTTCATTGGTTGTTATCTACATTATATATTTGTTCTCACACGCTGGAATGTCTTTCTTGTTGTGATGCGCTTATTGATGTCCGATCTCAATGGACTCTCACCTGGTCATAAAGGTCAACTGATCTCTCCTATCAGCTGGATCAGCAGAACGGAAAATAGATGGGGTTATTTTTTTATTTACTCTGTCAATTGGCGGAACAGTAGGGCTCCCAATCATCCAAATGTCAACCATGGTCAACTCAGCCTCATCATCCGCACAGGGTCAGTAAAGTTTGTACTGCCCAGTGAGAGCCAGTAGTGGAAAATTCTACATTTCTGTGGCAAAAGCAGCCCTTGGCGGGAATGAACAGTTGGTTTACTCTGAAGCAACTGATCTCTGCCGCACAAAACAATCGTGAACCGTCGTTGGCTGTGGTGCACAAGCGCACATGCATTCGCCAAGGACCGATGCCCGGCACATCTCCCCTCGTATATTTTTTTACATTTAGGGTTCTTGTTTTTTTGACGCATTGTAGATGGGTTTTTTAATTATTTGGTTCCCATCGTGTTGAATTGTCAGCTACGAGAGGCACCGAGTGCTCGTTAGAGAGCGGCAGGTTCACAACGACTCCACTGAGCCTGCCACAGTTTTAACACACGGGCAAAATGTCTGAATGATCCAAACAATGCATAATATATAACTACAAACCATTGCCATTCTGCTGATGGAATGACGGGATTCCCCATTCCGCGTCGGGTTCTGTTTCACCGCCTTTAATATATCACTCCGACGTTGATGTTAGCCATGGCCAGGAATCTAACTCGGGTTGCTTTGTTCATAGTGCAACGTGCTAACCACCGTGCCGCTCCCCCATCATATGATACCGATGTATGTGTCATTTTGAAGGTAATTGTCTACACAGTAGTTTTAAAAGTACAAATTAATGGAATCAATCAATGACCTCATACGGACATGAAAGTGAGTTCACAATCACCCTCCCAGTGTGCAATATTCAGTTTGGTTTTGAGCATTTTTATCTTATCAACAAAGATCTGCACGTCATTGCCAGAGTCCTTAATTGGTTAACACACCATGCACATCCTACCCACTGGATCACAGCCACAGTAGGGTAATGAGAGAAAATGTATCGATCAGTTCGCCCTTCATGTATTCATCACTGGAGGAAGGCCTCCCCCAAGATTGTTCGGCCACGCTGGCCAGTGTGGGTTGGTGAAGAGATGAATGTTTCAGGACCGGTTCAAATGTCACTCCGCACGAACGTTAACATTGCACGGGGAAAATCGAAACTCATTCGGATCGATGGGCGCTGAGTGCAGTGTGTTTACCACTGCGCCACCACCCCACCCCGGGTATCATTCACCTTCGCCTTGAATCAAGGATCCCGCACTTTTGAGGATCTGTCACAAATTAAGGTGCGAGATGAGCGATCGACGTCCGAGGAAAGGGAACCCAATTAGAACACTTTTGAGGTCGCGATGCGGAGCAAAGGATCGTTGTAGAGGCTATGTGTCCCCTACCCCTCTTCCCTCGGAGTGCTGCTTGCTTTAGATCAATCGTGCGACCCTGAACTCAATCGTGTTCAGTCCGGACGACGTGGGTTGCCTTCAAAGCGGTCGCTGAGCGGATCGAGATAACGGCGAGGAACGCTGCGGTGGCTGGAGGCATCCTCGCATCCACGCTTAGACGAGTTGTGGTGGGTGGGGCCGCTATGATACTCGCGTGCGTGTGCTACACGTGAGTGTTTTGACCGTGTGTTAGTAAGTGTGTGTGTGTGCTGTGTTGTGGGGGAGCGGTAGAGTGGCGGTTAGCGCTACGCTGCGCTACGAATTCGGTGGCCCGAGTTCGATTGCCAATCACGGCCAACACCAGTGACGACAATCTAAACCGGTCCTGGGTTTTCCCTAGGTCGACGCAGCCGCAAATGAGTACCTGGTGCGGTGTGTAAACATCGCCACTGGGGAGGCAAAGGCGTAGATCTGGCCACCCACCCCTTCGTGTACCGTGCCGGACTTCATAGGTGCTCGCTAACAGCACTTGCCCTAACAGCATGTTAAGGCTATACGGAGGATCTTTGTCTGTGTGTAATGTGTTTGTGACTCATGTGTTTGTGAGCGCCTGTGTGTGCTGTGCGTTTGTGAGCGTGCGTGCTGTGTGTGGATGTGTGCTGTGTGTATGTGTGTACGTGCTGTGTGTATGTGTGTACGTGCTGTGTGTATGTGTGTACGTGCTGTGTGTATGTGTGTACGTGCTGTATGTATGCGTGTACGTGCTGTGTGTATGTGTGTACGTGCTGTGTGTTGGTGTGTACGTGCTGTATGTATGCGTGTGCGTGCTGTGTGTATGTGTGTGTGTTAACCCGATGCTAAGAGGGGCTAAATGTGCTGAGGTTGGCGTGTCTAGAGCTACATTCTCAACAACAAAAACAAGTCGTGACTTCGTAACAGGATGATTTCGTGACGCATTAGGGCACATTAACGCACCGAACCTCCCCCTGCCACGGCGAACATCAGTGGCGAGTGATAAAATGACTGAACCGGTCACACGAAACCATCTTGGTGAAGTATGGTCACCCCCACCCCCTCCCATGACCGAAAGGCGTAGGGGAAGCCTTCATCCAGCAGTGGATTAACGAATGGGGGCTATTACACCCCGGCCCCCACTCCCCCCAGCACGCCCGCCCCTGCCGAGGCGTCTGCGTGTACCTCTGCGGCATGAAGAGCGCCGCCGTGATGACACCGTTACTATTTATAGCCTCCACTGCCAGGCTGCCCTTCGTTGCCCCTGCGGGCCGGTGCCATCGGCCCGCCGAGTCTCATCGCATCGCATTGTTGCGGTGTGTTGCCATTGTCAAGGCTTGTCAAGGCTGCTGCTGTCTATTGCTTCGTTCACATTGCCAAGTGCCTCTCTCCGTGTGGCTGAGCGACGCCTGACACGCTAAACGAAAGCGTCTATAGGGGGACGGCTAACCCCGTGACGGCTATTCCGTAGGCCGTATATTTGACAGCCAGCCCGTACAGACGATACGCTATAGGATATAGTCCATAATTTCTATCACAGCGAGCCCATCGATTCGAGAAGGTAAAAGCTAGCCATGTACAATACACAGATTCAAACACTTATTAATAATCTTGATTTGAAGCTTTCGTTATTGCAGAAATCCATACTCTTTTGTTATTTCGGTAATGTCGCGTAGGTATAAAATAAAAACACATTCATAAGCCTCGTATGGCAGATAGAAAGTTATATTTAAGGTCTATAAACTCAACACATTTGTCAATAACACTGCCTTAAAAGGAAACCCATACTATGTATGTTCGGATTCTTTCGCACCGTACGTAGCCGACCGTGCTAATCGGAGGTGCACTCGCTCTATTGCCGGAAATAATAATAATACGTAGATGACGTTTCGGGCAAAGGCCCTTCATCAGAGCACATGTGCTGCTATAGGTGGCAGCTAACCCACCACAGCTGTTACCTATAGGCATCTATCTTGCTGGCATCTATCATAACACACGTGCTTCGAAGAAGGCCTATTGCCCGAAACGTTGCCTATATGTTTCCACTTAAGGCCACGGTTTTATTGCCAATGTGTCGGAGTTATTATTATTATTATTTTCGCTTGTGCAGCACATGCCAACGCAGCAGTACCTTCAAACGATGTGTTCGGAATGTATCTGCAGGGGTGACAACAGTTAGCTTGCCAGCCCACAAGCGGCCGCTGATCTCAGACACGTTATTCTTTGAATCTATGAACACACAGCGCCCCGTGTCGATGTCTTCTCTCAGAGTCTAGGCGCCAGCGAGCATCCTTCCTGTCCTGTGCGCACACTCCGGAGGTTCCCCCGGCAGCGATCAGCACCGTGGACTCACCCGACGTGCTTCTCTCTCAAGCGCAGCGTCTCGCTCTTCTCGTACACTTGAACGTAGCCGCTCATTGTGAATGACTCAGCGCTCTTACACGTGCGTCCGTCCGTGCGTCCGTCCGTCCGTCCGCGCGTGCGTGCGTGCTGTGTGTGGCTGTGTGCTAAATTGTATGTATCTGCGCGTGTGTATAGGACTGTGTGTGCGTGTGTCAGAGTGTGTTTATGGGATATAGTATGTGTATGATATATAATGTGCGTGTGTCTATGAGACAGAGCGCGTGTTTGCGTGCGCGTGCGTGTGTGATGGAGAGACTGTGTGCGTGCGTGTGCGTGTGTGATGGAGAGACTGTGTGCGTGTGTGCGGCTCGGCAAAGGCAGCGCGTTAAGTTGCTTGTGAGGCGTGCGAGTCTGTGACCTCACATGACGAGTGGTGTGTGTATATATAACGTCAGCGTCAGCCCACCAGCACCACCCGCGGGGTTTCGTCGCACTGGGATTCTTCTATCCCCCCCACCCACGCAAAGGGGTAGGGAGGGGGGTGGGAGGGGTCAGAGTGGAGGTGGAAATGAGGAGATGGGGCCAGTCATGTTTGCGCATTCAAACGGTATCAAAGTGAATCCATAGTTGTACATATTTGATGGGAATGAAATGTAAACACTGTATAACAAGTGAACGGGCAAAGGGTCTGGTTTGCCACGTCTAAATTGTACATGTCGGTTCATACCACACCATCAGCCATGGTCAATCCGCTGCTGGATGAAGGCCTCGCCAAGTCATCGCTATCTCTCTCGATTCTGTAATCCACCGAGCACCTACACACCAGCAGCTGATTTCATCTCTCCTTCTCGACCGGTGGACGTGCCCAGAGGTGGGACAAAGTCATTGTTTTGCAAGTCCAAGTCGAGTCTGAAGTCATCAAATTCATGACTCGAGTCTGACTCGAGTCCAAGTCACATGACTCGAGTCCACACCTCAGAGGTGGGACAAAGTCATTGTTATGCAAGTCCAAGTCGAGTCTGAAGTCATCAAATTCATGACTCGAGTCTGACTCGAGTCCAAGTCACATGACTCGAGTCCACACCTCAGAGGTGGGACAAAGTCATTGTTATGCAAGTCCAAGTCGAGTCTGAAGTCATCAAATTCATGACTCGAGTCTGACTCGAGTCCAAGTCACATGACTCGAGTCCACACCAGTCAGAGGTGGGACAAAGTCATTGTTATGCAAGTCCAAGTCGAGTCTGAAGTCATCAAATTCATGACTCGAGTCTGACTCGAGTCCAAGTCACATGACTCGAGTCCACACCTCAGAGGTGGGACAAAGTCATTGTTATGCAAGTCCAAGTCGAGTCTGAAGTCATCAAATTCATGACTCGAGTCTGACTCGAGTCCAAGTCACATGACTCGAGTCCACACCTCAGAGGTGGGACAAAGTCATTGTTATGCAAGTCCAAGTCGAGTCTGAAGTCATCAAATTCATGACTCGAGTCTGACTCGAGTCCAAGTCACATGACTCGAGTCCACACCTCAGAGGTGGGACAAAGTCATTGTTATGCAAGTCCAAGTCGAGTCTGAAGTCATCAAATTCATGACTCGAGTCTGACTCGAGTCCAAGTCACATGACTCGAGTCCACACCAGTCAGAGGTGGGACAAAGTCATTGTTATGCAAGTCCAAGTCGAGTCTGAAGTCATCAAATTCATGACTCGAGTCTGACTCGAGTCCAAGTCACATGACTCGAGTCCACACCTCAGAGGTGGGACAAAGTCATTGTTATGCAAGTCCAAGTCGAGTCTGAAGTCATCAAATTCATGACTCGAGTCTGACTCGAGTCCAAGTCACATGACTCGAGTCCACACCAGTCAGAGGTGGGACAAAGTCATTGTTATGCAAGTCCAAGTCGAGTCTGAAGTCATCAAATTCATGACTCGAGTCTGACTCGAGTCCAAGTCACATGACTCGAGTCCACACCTCAGAGGTGGGACAAAGTCATTGTTATGCAAGTCCAAGTCGAGTCTGAAGTCATCAAATTCATGACTCGAGTCTGACTCGAGTCCAAGTCACATGACTCGAGTCCACACCTCAGAGGTGGGACAAAGTCATTGTTATGCAAGTCCAAGTCGAGTCTGAAGTCATCAAATTCATGACTCGAGTCTGACTCGAGTCCAAGTCACATGACTCGAGTCCACACCTCAGGACGTGCCCTCCGAGATGTTAACTCCCTCGCCTGGTATACAGGAGGTCGTGGGTTGGATCGACACACTGACTCCTGTATATGTGAAGTTTGCATGCTCTCCCCGTGGTCGCCTGGATTTTTTCTCCACGTCCTCCAGTTTTTCACTCCACATTTAAAATCAACGTGCGTTTCGATTATTTGGCTGCTATAAATTTCCGCATGTTAAGCCACTGTTTTGAGCTATCATTAGTGGCCAGGACGCTTATGAAAATGAGCTATATAGCTCAGTGGGTCTTACCTGGTAAAATACAATTAAAAAAAAAACATGATTTAGTTTTCGTTTAGATTTCCGGGCGTGGAAATCTAAACGAAAACTAAACCATATTTGTTGGTGCAAGTGTCGAGAACCCCCCTCACCCCACCCACAGCCTCTGTCCACTCAGAAAGATACATTTCCCACCACAGTTAGTCGATCGGCCGGTGGGGTCAAGTGTGACCACTTCCACCTCTTTCAATACGTCTAGCCAGAGTGGAAGAGTAGACCAAATACGCTTTAGCGGTGTTCTCCAGAGTTCCCTTCAGCGGGCGCCGTTCCGCCAGCAGTAGTACATCGGTTACGGAGCTGCACCTTTATCTGAAATGAGCAATTCAATTAGCCTTGTCGAGGAAGTCTCCGTGGTGCTGCTGCGAAGATGGTTTATTTTTTATTTTTTATCCACAGCTCAAGCCTTCAAGGAGCAGTATTGAGTCTCCCACGCATCTGTCCAAACTCTAGTGCGCGGTGACGTCCCTGTTGGGGTTTTTTTCCCAGGATGCAGCAGAACTCTGCATCAGCAGTACCCAGTGCACGTTGCTGTGCGGGTGTTTGCTGTTGGGGAAGGGAACGGTTTTAGGGGTCAAAGTTCATCAGGCATTTACTCACGCCGAGTTGTGCATTGAACGGCGCCTATTCAACGCCAATAAAAAAACAAATACGACGCTCAAGCAAGCAGCGATACACATTGACCGAGAAATTGTTGTGTGCAGACTCGGGTCTGTGACAATGGAAGTAACGTCGTCATCATGAGTCATGGTATATCCATTATTGCACGAAACAATCACTGAAATTCTGAGTGCGAATTCAGGTAAAAAAAATTTAACCCGTAAAAACAAAGTTTTTTACTATAAATCCTTTATATGCGTGTTCAATGGGCCACAACCCAGCCCACGTTGGTCTTTAAAACGGGCGGCTAGAGTCCTTTCGTTCTCTGGCTTGAGATGGCTGCCACCTATGGGTCAGATGATTGCCTGCCACCATTAAGCAATTGGTAATTAAATATAAAATTTTTTAACCTAAAAAGTGTAACATTTTGGAATTGTCACGCACGAGTCTGTGTGCAAAATGTCAGCTCGATTGGATCACGGGAAGTGGGTTAAAAAACGACCGAAAGATTTGCACGGTCGTAAGCGCGCAAGCAAGCAAGCAAGTGAATTTAATATAAAGGATTTAAAAAAAAGAACAGGTTCTCAAGTTTCGATTTAAAGCTTTCGTAACAGCAGGGATTCATATTCTTGGTTCTTTCGGTAAAGTCACGTCGAAGAGAAATAATAAAATAATAAAAATTAAACAATCAAATTCTCACGACGTTTCGATTGCAACACAAACAATCATCTTCAGGTTCTCAAGCGTAGTGAGTTGATCTCAGTCTGCTCAACAATGACTCCACAATATCATCATCATCAGACATGATCTATTCTTGTAAAAGAGTTGTTCAGCTCAAAATTCGTCAGTGGTCATCTTCTAAAGGTGAGCTCTCTCATTTGGCCGCTATTCTATCAACAATTTCGTCCACAGGTCATCATTTAGGTGTACAGAAATGTCGTCTCATATACTGGAAATTATGAGCAGGTTTGAGCTTCCTTTTCTTCCAGTTACAATAAAATAACCCCTATTACAATGCTTCATTAACGCCTATGCATACTCTTGGTTCTTTCGGTAAAGTCACGCAGAAGGGAAATAATAAAATAATAAAAACTAAAACATCATAAAATAAAATTCTCACGACGTTCCGGCCACAACGCAAGTAGCCGTCCTCAGGTGAAGAAACAGAGCTGTTGGAAAGGCAGCGTCCTAATGAACACTGCTAAGCTTGGCTGCGTATTTTAAGCTGGGTGGGAGGAGGAGACAGCCTTGACAAAGGAGTTTACATATCAACAGAGGAATTTAGCATATTGATGACAAACGCAGATTTGGGGTTTGTCACTCCTTGCGGAATGTGTAGGCGGTGGGGGGTCTCAAAGTCATATTGTGCTAGTGTATTATGTAGGATTAGCAGTAATAAAGGGAGGGAAATTTTAATAATAAAGAACTGCAGCTAGTGCAGTATGTGGAAAACAAAAAAGGAGAACCAAGAATATGAATCCCTGCAGTCACGAAAGCTTTAAATCGAAAAAAGTCTATGCACACGTTTATTAACAATGCACCAACTTGACACTTTATTCGGACACAGGAGAGACGTCTAAGTGCTCTCGAACAACAGACTATGTGTTCTTCTATCCATCTCATTACATCAAAAAATCTGAGTATCTCCTATACAACCCATTGGTCACCATGAGACCTCCGTTACCAGTGGCAAAATATAGTAACAGGTTTTTACCCTTTCAACTCGTACAAAAACTGACACCTTTATACAAGACATTATGTTTGCAATAACCACAACACAAGCAGTCAAAATGTAATAAAAAGAAACACCAATGGAGACTAGGCTCTAAGAAAAGCTGTTTCAGGTGTGGACCAATCAACTTCAAGGACCGTGCATATCATTATCATCATCAGAGTTGTTTATTTTTGTTTGCATTTTGACTGCTTGTGTTGTAGTTATTGCAAACATGATGCCTTGTATAAAGGTGTCAGTTTTTGTACCAGTTGAAAGGGTAAAAACCTGTTACTATAACCCATTGGTCAGCACGGTCTTCTGGGGGTGAATAATTTTAGCAGCATTGATCCAGTACAAGCAAACATGGACAAGTTTCGACATGCAGTATATCATCAGCAGAGTTAGGCTTGCTTTAATTAATTCTGGCGAGCTGCCATAGGTTGCAGGCAAGGCCCCTGTCTTTAAGATATGGATCCTAGTTAGACGCAAATTCAGAAAATAAGTTTGCGTGTACTTTGGTCGCGTGTAATGCACGCTCCCATAGAGGAGCGGTATACTGGGTGTGGTGTGCCGGATATGGAAACATATTCTGGGTCGTCGATCTG